CTGCTTTGGACCTGTGTAGCATGGGAGAAAGACATGTTTTGGAAATTTAATTATTTCATTTTGGATAGATGTCCCGTTTGAATTCTGGACTGTGTGCTGTCTTGAGCCTTGTACTTTTGATATATCTCATCTGATATTGGCCCATTTTCTCAACTCTCTATGTCTCTGAAATTCCTTGGGACATTCCTACCATTTGTTTTTAAAACTTTTTTTGAATTATTAACCACCCCTGCTCAGGAAACATTGAGGGATAGAAAGGAATCCTCAAAATTAAACATGAAAACTCATAAATATTTAAGTTTTGTTCTTAAAGGATTTTCAAGCATCATATGCACCAGCTATTCTTCTAGATGTTTCTACATTCCTAACTACATGTAAAAAAGTTGTTTGGTGAGTGACTGCGGCTATAGGTGGTGAATTTATTTTTCTTCAACTAACTATTCAGCGATTGAATAAAACCAAGGGGATAAACTCTGAGAAAGTGAAAATGTGAGGGAGAAAAATGCACTGTTTTCCTTTTCCTCCCCCACATGCAACCTGGCCCTTTTCCAAGGGTGAACACAGACTCCCAATTTCCAGGAATATGAATGAGAACAGCCATAGCTTTTGTTTTTTTTTTTTTTTCATTGTTTTCCTACACTGCAGTCCAAGTTAATGTGTTTCTGCATCCAGGGTGCTCATAATAGCTGTAGGTTGCACTGGCAATTACGTGGATATTTTGCTCTCTATGCTAGAACAATATATTTGTACTTAAACGTTATACTCTATGGGTAAGGAATCTCAGCAAATATGTCCAGGAACATAATGTTTAAGAGAATCTGACTTGATTAGTGTGAGAATAGAGGTAAGTATAGCTAAATTAATAATAATTCCTCAGTGTTTTTCAAGAAATAAAATTAAATTTGAGTCTGATATGAAGTTTTTCTTTTTTTATGGAAATGGGATGTTACTGCCCTAATAGTTCCTATGTCTTGGCTTAATTTCTTTTGGTCGTAGAGTAGTTGTTCTAACCCATTTCTAATATTCTGTGTAGCCCACGAGCTGGCTTACCAGGGAGGATCTTAACCTGTGTCTGTCTGGAGCGGGAGAATCATGGCGACTCCTTCACTAAGCTTCTTTCTCCCAGAATTCTCTTCTGTTTACTCCGCCTACCTAATTTTCTGTCCTATGAGGGCCGAGGCAGTTTCTTTATTAATAAGAAATCACTCCCACATCA